TTGTCTATATTGCACTCAAGTATTTGTTTTATAAAGAATATATATAAAGAACATCTGTGTTTTATAAAAAATTAAATTAACTATCATTTAAAATATAAATATGCATATGACTTTGTGTGTTATTCGACTTACGTTAACTTCTTGTAAAAACGTAGTTCTGGTATCTCAAATAATATAAAATACCATTTAAAGTACTAATTGGTACTGAATGAGCTAAGACGTCTCACATCAATAGTTTCATATACGAATTTTAATTAAATTTACACCCGCCTACAAAATTTGTCTCAAATATGTAATAAAGTTTACATTTAATATCATTATTACCAACATTGCATGTGGGGTGAAACGTTATCACCAAATTCTCTTGCTATGTTATGTTACTATTACAAGAAACGCATAAACTACAGATATATAAAAATTAATTAACTATAAAAGTTTTGTTGTAGTATTTAGTCGTATACAATTTGTTGTTAATTTTTTCACCTAATCAGTTTTTAATAATAATTTTATATATATTTTAATCAACACATTAGAATACACTACAATAGTTTGAACACAGTACCATAGATAAAATAAACCAGGTTACCCAGTTTGTTATATATAATCTCTTGTTTTGTTTATAAAATAACCAATGATGCACATGACTGCGGCTACCTCTGACCTTGACAGTAACATAATACAATGAATATATATTTTTTTTTTATTTCTTTAACTTTTATTTAGTTTGTATTTTATTTTTACTTATAACAGAAATGTTCAATTTTAAAAGAGTAATTTAAAGTCATTTGACAAAATTTATTGTAAATGTAATATGAAGTGCAAATTTCGGCTTAATTGTACACTCGGATGCCCTTACTCAACTTTTTGATGTGTTGTCAAACTAAGTTGATAAGCTTGTTTTTCTTGACGTAATTAAAACTAGGCTTGTAAGTACCTCAAAAATGTATTACATTTAATATTGTAGTTGAATTTGACATTGAGACGTGTGAAAAGCCATTATAACGGCAAATGAAATCCTATTTAAGTTTCGAAATAATGAAAATATTTCACAAACACGAAAATAATATATCACATAACATCAATTAACTTCTTACATGTTCATATAATAGACAATAACCTAAGTGATTTTGTCTATCGTCTGCAGGTTTTTTGTATTTATATGACCTTTTACAGTTGAATTAAAGGCATTGATTCATTATGAATTATTGAAAATAATTGATAATTTGATTATAAAGTCGCGATATCTGTGTGTAATGCTACATATAAGCCAATCATATATTGCAAAACTAGAGCATTTTTAATAATAATGTTAACTATAATTTTACAAGTTTTTAATTTTGTAATTACTATTTTATGCGTAATTCGATTTTCAGTTCAACTTATCGTTTTTACATATCTTGAAGCAAATACTCATAATCAAATTGTGAAGTTGAAAAAACTTAGTTAAGTCAAATATGTATAAATTAAGTGACTCACCTTAACTCACACAAGCCAACTTGATTTACTAAAAAATCGTTAAAAATGTAATGTTTTTTATATGTATATATAAATATCTCTACTATATCAT